CTTCTCTTCTCTTCTCTTCTCTTCTCTTCTCTTCTCTTCTCTTCTCTCTCTCTCTCGCTCTGTCCTCTCTCTCCCTCTCTCACACTGACTCTCACCCTCCCTTGCTCCCTGACTCCATTGGCATTTGGAAAAGATCCTGCATGCAGGTGAATGGCTATGACCTGCATGGGGCAGGCGGCTTCTGGATTTGGCATTTGAGAAGCAAGAGGAGACTAGGAGGCTGAAAGGATCCAAAAAGTAAGACCAGAATCCAAGTCAGAATCCAGTAAATTTGAGTATGCTAGTAGTATGGCGATGTAGGCATTCCTTTTCTCACAGCATGGTGTGGTCAAGTTTAGCAGAGAAGCGCTCTTTGAAGACCTTATCTTTCTTTCCAGATACCACCAACCTGCAGGACAAGTGTGTCGTCTATTTTAGTAAGGGGTGACGGAGCAGCGTGCTGGGTCAGCCATGCGATTCAACCTATCCAAACGGGCCTCAGGGGACACCCTGTGCACATGGCGATGCATTCTCACACTTGATTCTTGATGCTGACTGCACATGACAGACAAAAACTGTGGCACATGCGACCATGGGTTGGTGCCAAAATAACCAGCGCTTCAACCAATGAACGCCTCGTCCGCGATTGGCTGTTGGTGGCTCTCAGACGCGAGCCGCTGACAGTTCCTCTCCTCAGCTCATTAGTTGACGAGGGCCATGGCGAAGCAGGCAAGGTTGCATCCAGTGAATCCAGTTGCAACCAGTGATCATGGCTCATCTCGTTCCAGTTTCACTAGCTCTTTGGTTAGATTCATCTCGTTCGCTCGATTCTAATCCTTAGAATCCACGAGTTGCTTGTCCCCCTCGGAACTCACAGAGAGCTCCGTTGTGAACGCTTTCTGAGCTCAACTGTTTCAGGGAGTTAGCAAGGAAATATGCCCGGTCAAGTTGGGAAGGCTTTGGAATGATGAGGAACTCGTGCAGAACTGGTGACTAGAGGTCTTACCTATCCTCCCAGGCATTTTTCGGTAGAATGCCTTGAACCGCTTTTCTGTCGATTCTGGGAGCTTGTACTTTTCCTGATTCACTTGCAGACGATCAATTCCTCAGCACTAACCTGATGCAATCAGGTTCCCAGGCCTTTGCCTTTGCATGGCCTGAATGTGTTGTTTCTATCGTACAGGCAGTTGCTTTGATACCAAAGGCAGTGGGTGAGCTGTGTTTCAGCTGAACACTGAAAAAGGACTGACTACTGAACACTCCAGGCTCGGGCTGTTTTCCAAGCCGCATGCGGCCTCGGTTTCGCTCTTTTTCCCCCGACAGGTCCAACTGAATGACTTCGAAATGCGCCTGGGCAACGGGCGGGACCTCGTCGTTCTTCGTTCTTCTTCGTCGTCGCACGATGACCCACGCGACACGACGACCTCTGGGAGGTTCATGCCCGAAGACACCACGGTTTTTTTTTGACGCGATCTATGTAACTAGTAACGATATATATATATAAGAAACAACACATTACCAAGAAAGTACCGAACAAAAAGAGCTCCATTGGGTGAGCTTTGCAGCGAAACAAATATTTGGTCGGCGGTCTCAGACCACGGACGGCTTGAGAGTCAAAGTTATAATGCGTGTGGCAAATATTAATATATATAATATACATGACATAAAGCAAGTTGTGACATAAGTGTGTCATGTATATTCACATAATATATATATCTATATCTATATCTATATCTATATGTAGTACACATATAGAGTATGACATATCAATGTTATGCATGACATGCCGTTCATCACCCCGCCTTCTCACCCGTTTCACGGACTCGACCGGACACGTCGAGTGTCAGCGGGGCGGACGGTCCAAACGGGTGCCCTCTTTGGGTCACCCCGGTCGACCGGATGACCAACGTTTCGTTTGGCACCCGTGGTGATGAGATGAGGATCCCAAGATCCAAAGTTCAACACAAGGTGTCAGTTTGACCTGCAGATTGGATTCCGAAAACCACCAAATGTGTGTAGAAAAGGAATGCTCTTCCAGAGGTTGATTTTCAAGTTCCATGTTAGTCTGCACGCTGGTGGTGAACATCAAGAGCAGTCAGGACATGTCTTTTTAAAGCTGCCAAGGAACTGACAGTAAAAGCAGGTCATACACAGTGGCCGTGAAAGATCTCCCAGAAACCGCCCAGTGATGCTGAAACCAATGGTCCCATCAGATCTCCCTTGAGACTGGCGATGGCCCGACATGCATCGCACATGCACAAGCTGTCATAGAACCTGACGGACACGGGTCGTTCGCCCTCCGGATCTTCGGGTGACCGCTGCACCGCTCTGAGGGTCCGCACCTTGGGCTGTGGATCCTTTGGACGTGTGCGATTTGCCAAGTACAAGCCGGAGCGGCCGGGTCGCGGCCGGGTTCCTTTTGTCCGGGTCGAATTGATTAATGGGGTCGACGTGTTTTCCGAGGCGGGGACGATGGTTTTATAGTTTAATAAATCCGTTCGAGAGCTCTTTTTTTTCACTGGGCAAGTTCAGTCAGCAGCTTTTCCAAGTTGCGTGTTTCGGAGCTGCTGCAGCTGTTGGTCTGTTACACGTGTCGGTGAGCTACATTGGGCACAACCGCGCTCTTGTTGGAACAGTCCAGACATTCCAAGAAGCAGATCATCCGACCCCAACAGGGATCTATACATTCCTGACTTCAAAGTGGGTGACGGTGGTGACGAAGTCGAGTGCTGGTAGATCTAAAGGGATCATCCAGACCTCGACTGACAGCAGACGGACCTCCCTGGGCGTTCAGGGAACGAAGTGCCGTTTGACCCGGGTCAGCGACGACCGCCTGCCGGTGAGATCAACGAACTGGACGGATGAACAGGGAGGAACTTGTTGAGCGAAAGTTCGGAAGGTGTATCACAAGAGCCAGGTGTGGCCAGGTTTCTTAGCCAAGAGCATCAAGGAAGTAAGCTACATAGATGATAGATATGATAGATTAGATGCAACAAGATGAGCATAGATGACCTATGGCTCCTCAACAGGACGGCAAGTACTATGCAGTGAAGTTCATGAAGAAGCATGAGATCATCAAGCTCAAACAGGCATGGCCGCCGTGCTCATGGCCGCCGGCCAATGCGCAAGCCTGAAATGGTATCGCCCCTCCTCAAAGTCATTCGCGATCTATGTATTTGAATGGGGAGACACCTGATCGCCTTTGGCTGAGTAGACTGCTTTATTTCCCGAATTCCGGGGGAACGCCTGGGAGGTCTCTAGCGTTTTCTTGGAGTTGCGTGGAGGTCTTTTCATCCCGTAAGATCAGCCCAGGAGGCACTTGACTCAACTGCTAGAAACTCTTGTTCCTTATCCCTCCCAGCCTGCTCAGCCTGCTCAGAACGTCGCCCCGTTGCTTGCCGGGTTCTGTGTGTTTGGTGCCTGTCCTCGGTAGGTCTCTGCATCCCTTCAGAGCCAGGAGTCCATGCATACGTGGGAGTTGATCGAATCATGGGATGCATTTTTTAAATACAAAGATCATCAAAGATCGACCTTTTTGGATGCAAGGAAGATGGAGAAACAACCACCCAAAAATATGTTGGAGTTGATTTTCCTTCTTTCCCGCGATGAATGGCAGATTCTATCTAACGCCGCCCATGGGCTTTCAGAACGGGTCGACCGGAGCGGATCGGCGGATCGATCGACCAAGTCTCGAGGTGGACCACATCAACAATGAGAAGAGGCTAATGGCGCAGATCTCCTACCCCTTTATCGTGCCTTGGTTGCGCCAAGGAGACATCCTGAGACCCTTTTTGGGTCGGTCAACAGGCCTCCAGATGGGAACAGACCCATGCTGACATGTCGATCGTGAACATGGCTCAAAGATGCCACAAGATGCCCTGAGGGTCGAACAAAATGGTCTGTTGAGACCGGTCAATGGACGTGGGAGAGATTTAGACCCTGAGGGGGTCGGTTAGTCTGGATTTGGCATCGAACACATTGAATCCTACAATTTGCATCAATCCTTTCCGAATCTGCCTCTTGCTGCTTGCTTCCTTCTTTCATGTAGTCGATTGCCCTTCGAATCGAACTCTTGGCCATCTGGGGATCTGAGTCCGACACATCCTCAAGCGCCGCCAGCGTCTGGGATCCGGTGCGGCTTCGAATGGATTGTCCGACATCTAAGGTGAACATGATGGGCTACGCCAAGGACTTGCTTTGGGGGGAGTGGACTGAGTGGGCGAATGAAACAGTTCACCACATGATCTCAACAAACATCCATCAACGAGTCCTGAGAACGGGACAAGACAACACAACAGCAAATAAGTAAGTACCTGCGAAATCTGGCGCGCGGTCCAGTGCCTTTTTCGGCATCCCGCAAAAACACCCTCCATACTGTATCGGACAGGTTGCATGGCCTGGAGAGCGGAGTCTTGATGGATTGATGCACTTCCTGTGTGCTCGATGCAGATCGTACGCCGAGAGATCCAGCTGGGATGCTCAAAGGTTTCCATTTCCACCGCGTGTTTGGTTGCAACCCACAGACCAACAAGCCTGAAATCACACTGAAATCATCGGACTATGGAGGACTTGAACAGATGCCCTTGCATGTACGGTTAGCGTGCCGTGTTGTCGTGCACGAGAGATGATACGTGGCGTTTTGCAATCCTCCCCCCATGTCATGGACCATGGATCATGGCTTGGAGTGCCATAGGACCATAAACCTGGCCTTTTCGGTTTGATTCATTGAGAGAGGATACCCCTCAAGTGTACAACCAAGAGGCATACCTGACCACCGACCCCGACAACCGCAGGACGAGCACTTCGTCTACATTGCCGGAACGCCTGGAGCCGGCTTCCACCGGCGGAGAAGCGACGGGTTCAGAGAAGGATCCCAGGTGGGTGTGCATTCTTTTGGGGTTCGTGAACTTGACCCGAAAATCAGCACTCCAGCTTCTTGGTCCACCTTTTTGGGGGTCCTTCCAATGTATTCTATCACTTTGTCTATAGGCAAAGCTTGGGCCTTTCTTCGAAGAGTTAGACACGCCACATTACGAAAGAATGAGGGGCAAAATGCGCTGCATATGAACTATAGGTCTAGGTGGGTGGGTGTGGGAAGTTGGTGCTGCAACGAGGCGCCAGCATGGTCGAGAGTCGTATCTTCTACATTGCTATGGCTTCATCCGCTATGGCTTTCACGAAAACCAACCCGATCCTTGACACCCTGGGGGGTGGACTGGTGATCGACCAGAGTTGCCGCCACTGGTGCCCAGATCATGGAATGCATCAGTGGCGGAGAGCTCTTCACTCATTTGCGTCGTGCGCCTTGGCAACGATGCTCCTTGGGAGGCCACAGTCCCAGGAAAGGACTCGATCTGTCTGGTGCTTTTCGGGTTCAGCGTGAGTGACTCGATCTATCTTTTTGGAGCTTTTCGGAGCTTTGGCGAAGTGACGGAAGCACACGGGGGGCGCGTGGTGCTTTTCGAACACGGAGAGGCCAGTTGGGGATGGGGATGGGTCGTTCCAACGGACGACGTTTGTCGTGCTGAAGGATGGTGGAAGGACCCAGGGACCGCTCCGCCCCTTTTTGCTCCACAACCACTGGGGCGGTGGCTTCGCTTCTTCGTTCGATTCTAGATCGCTTCTTCACGGAATTCTTCGCTTCATGGGGGTTGGGATCCGCCCAAGCCTCCAGGCAGACGCAACCCTTTGCGGAGTGAGTCTCACGCAAGACGTGTGAAGCTGTCAACAACCTGTCAAGTCCTGTCAGTCGACTTGAAAGGTAGATTCAGATGACAGTAGAGGTCTCACATTGTCAGGGCATCCCAAGGCCCGTTTCCTCTTTGGACCGCGAGTGACTGCTTGGTCCTTCACCCCCCACAAGCAGGGAGCTCGAGCCGAACGACGCGAGCCTCGCCTGCGTTCGAGGCTCGGAAGTTTTCGGATGAGCAATCGAAGTTCTACGGCTTGCAGGCCTGGTCAGAGGTGAAGGAGGGCAGAAAATCAGGGATCATGAATCATGTTGGGGAACATTTTTGGAAGGTGCAGAATGACCCTTTTTTGAAGTTCGTTTTTTTGAAGTGTTGGTCTGGAAGTCGTTGGATGAATGGGGTTGATGCGTTGTTGCTGGTGTTCCCCGAGAGTAAACACCTGGCGGGGGCGGTCCTTTTTCGTCTTCTCGGCTTTTTCTAGGGCGACGTTGGGATTCACCAGCAGTGACCCACTCAAATGTTGTACTGAATTCCAGCTCCACTCCATTTGCTTTGGACCTCAACCTGTGGCAGACTGCTGCTGCCTTTGCTCACATCCACGGCCGGGGCCCCAAGACGAGTCTCCGATCTCTTCATGTCTCCAACGGGGGACATGTTCAGCATCCACAGGCCATCCAGAAGATCGTTTCAGCGGACCAGAAAAACCGGTCGGGAAACGGCCAAACAGCTGGTGAAAGAAGCCCGCCATGTCCGCAATCTGGTCATCTCCGCAGCCGGCGACGTCTCATCTTGATTTGTCTCTTTATGCCCACCACGTGGGATGTGCGTTCTCATCATCCCTTCGTCGAACGGTGCAAACGCCACGGGCGGTTCGGGCCTTGTCTCCGGCGCCGCGGTCACCGGCCGACCACCCCGAACCGGCGCCGCCGGTTCGCCCGATGTCTCCGAGGCAAGAACATCATCCACCGGGACCTGAAGCCGGAAAACATCCTTCTCTGCCCGGCCCCCAAGGGCTTGAACCGCAGGGCGGGGCAGCCGGCTGTACTGTATTGGGGGTCCTACGGTAACGTCCTACGGTGGAGGGTCCGAAACGTCCTAAAGAGGGGTGACATGACCTCCATCTTTTTTGGCATGGTGTTTGGCAATCTGATTTTCGGCCGTTTCTCTCCTTTCACTTCGAAGTCGTGGTCACCTGCAACCAGCCCAGCCCCCATCCCTCCCTGAGGTCCCAACGGCTACTCGAAGCTCACGGATTTCGGCTTCGCCAAGATCGTGGAGCCAGGCCGACGCCGGGAAGAGTTTGACGGTCGCGGCTGTTGCCAGCTACGGCGGGGTGTTGAAGTTTCTCGTCCGGACGAGAATGGATGCTTTGGGGTCACTGGATGTGATTTGCGAGATATTGTGAATATACAGTTTTCACGGGTCTTTTCGTATTCAGGCCAGATATATGCTGGGATTAGTGCTGGGATTCAGTCATTCAGTCCACCATTCAAAACCTGTACGCCCAGACCGTCGTCCGAGATCCTCGGTATTCCGCGGCAAGGTACGCGCACCTACACGCTCTGTGGCACTCCAGAGTACATTGCGCCAGAGGTCTTGCTGAACAAGGCCGGAACGTTGGCGAAGGGGTGGAAAAAGGGCATGAACATGTCGAAGCTGGTTGGAGAGAGGATGAAACAACAGATCTGGCTCCCACAAACTCAAATGCATGCCGCTCTCCCTGCATAGGTTCAGGAGATTTTACAGGTTTGCCAGCAACTTCACCGGGCAATCCACTAGCATTGCGAGAAAAACACATACCACCGTTCCTCTTGGCAGCCGCGGCTGCCGCGGCTGCCGGCAGACGCGCCGCTTGCGGGGCGGGTTGGTTCGGCCCTTTCAGTCACCGACAGATCTCAAAGTCACCGACATGATCAAAGTCATTCGTCCAGTCCATTCAGCGGAAACAGCCATTAGCCGCCCAAGGAAACAGTCCGGTCCAGCCATTCAGTCCGGTCCAGTCGGAAAGAGTCGATTCATCGGTGATGGCTGCGAGATTGTTCATGTAGAGTGAGGTTTCTCAGAGTGGATGGCACTGGCTCCCCAAGATGTATTTTAGAGTGGGGTCCATATAAACCACCTCTTGGGGTCTGTGCCATCTACTCTCTATCCACTGTACTTCTTTGAAGATGTTGGGTTCCCAAATGAGGAAAATGCCGCCACCCGCCAAGCACCTTTATTATTTGATTCGTCTTGCTACGAAGCCGCTTTGCAGGGACATGGCAAGCCAGTGGATTGGTGGACCTTAGGTCACTTGGCAAAGGAAGACACTGGCGGATGCAGGGGCCAATGGGAATTGCAGTCCAACAGAAGGCAAGAAACTGACACAACTTGAAAGCTTTCTTGCTGCTTTCACAGATGTACTGTCATGTCCTGTATTCTCGCCTCTCTTAGCTTAACCCCCAATATTATTGGCCAACTCATATACAGTAGACATAATATATACCACATAAACCACCACTGTAAAATTGAGCCAAGAGTTCCAACAGTTCCGATGGGTGTATCCAAGCAATATCATCTATATATGATCTACACATCCCTTTTGTTGCCCATCGAGCCGTTTTGACAGCGGTGTATTTGGTCCTCTGATGTCCATTCCGATGTCCTCTTCGGCGGTGGTCAAATAAAATCAGACTCTGAACGGCTTCCCGCTGAATGTGAATGCTTTGAGGTATCCTGATCTATGAGATGATTTGTGGGCAGCCACCGTTCTGTGACGAGGCAGGCGGCTTTCCTGCGCTAGTAAGGTGCTTTCTGCATTCTGCGAGCAGCAGTGTGCCACTTGCCCCTTTGCCAGGATCCCATGGGCATCTACCAGAAAATCTTGGCCGGCAAGGCTTTGATGAGCACAGTGGCGAACGGGGTGATCGCGATCGCTGAATCAGCATGTTGAACATGGGTGAACGGTTTCGTTCGATCGCATGCATGCGATGGATGGTGATTTGTCTTGATCGGCACAGAGCCCAGATATATAGCTAGGCAGAATCCAACGACCCAAGAAAGTCAAGTTCTGTAGCTGTTGACATGCACTGGCTGAAGCTAGAATGTACATACAGCCATCCTCCACACAGTCCGACCACGCTGATCATGCTTACCAACACGTCTCGAAAAGTGCTCACAGCCAGCTCATTCTTATTTGAAGTATTTTTATCGCTATCTAACAGGAACTAACGGGACATGGCATGGCCAAGTTGACTCATCAGGGTGGCAAATGAATCAATGCTAATCATATACAACATGTCCTTACTTCGTTGGGTGAGTTGATTCAATCTTGATCATGGAACAAATCTGACAATGCATCTTGGCCAAACATCTGAGCAGTGTTCTATTTTCCAGGTGTACTTCCCCAAGTACTTTGACAAGAATGCCAAGTCGCTGGTCAGCTGCCTCAGCGATGCCACCGGTGACCTCCCGGGCGTGGACCGCTCTTTTAGCGGATCTCCGAAGACGTGGGAGGGATCCCACACCTGAAAACGGGGCTGGGCACCAGCTGTGTTGGCTTGGTCCAGGTGAAGAAGCTCCTGGTGGCGGATTTGTCCAAGCGCTTCGGAAACCTCAAGGCCCGGCAGTTTTAGCGGCGCTTTTCAACGGGGTTCGAAGCGGGGCGTCTTTGGGTTCCCAAGAGCCCCAGGCTTTACGGACAGGAAGACCTGGTATGTTGGAGTCTGGCAGTATGGCACTCGAGCGAAGGACAAACCACTTCGTTGAGCCAAGATGGGTATGGTATTTGCATGTATTTGAGTGAAGAGGTTCCGCGGATGTAGAGCCTTTGACCGTGATGATTGGAGATTATAGACATGAATAGACACGAACCAATCCAAGTGAAGCGATTTTCGATCGAGAAGCCACTTTCGGTTTCCCTCTTTCAGTTCCAGAGGTCCCCCAGGCCCCACAGCTCCCATCCCCCTGGTTCTGGGAATTTCTTCGAACAAAAACAAGAACCTCCTGCCCGGCAGCTTGACAAGCTGGCAGCTGACCTGTTCAACTCTTTCAAGTCATTTCCACCGAACAATCCGCATGCCCGGCAAGGATGGAGCTGCTGACATTCTTCAGAACAAGTGGCGCCTTGGATTTGGGGGGGCTGACACTCTTCTGCGTGCAACAGCCTGGGGTTCAACGACACAGAGTGAGTATGTGGGATGTAAACACACTTGTAAAGATGGGTGCAGGCAACAGGACAGGACAGGGGTTCTGCCAGCTGAAACACAGGGTGGTGGAGGCAAAGGAGGTCTTTCCCGGACCTCCTGCGAGGTCTCATTTTTGGGAAGGCACCTTTTCCAAGACCACATTTTTGCACGAGAAAGATGTCCATGTACGGCGAGACGAGAGATGATTGTGATTATAGTTTCTGGCCATACGGCTATGAAGTGGATGGTTTATTGGGCTACGCCGGGCCCAGAACCACAACCATCTGAAAGGCCCAACCTATGTCCCGTCGTCCGCCCAAGAGTCTCACTTCTCACTTCGAGCCCCCGGGGTCTTCCAGTTTCCGCTGGCGGCAGAGGTTTTCGACCTACGAGCTCCCGAAGCTCGAAGCCCTGGAGGTGCCGGCCGCCGGCGACCACCGGGAACCCGTGGTGACGGTGTGACGATGGCGAGCGTGCCGGCCGGGGCGTTGGGAAGTGAAGTGGGAGGTGTGATCATGGAAGTTTCTGAGTGATTCGATGTGAACTTGAACAGTATGTGATCATATGCGATCTGATGATCGACATATTACATATCTAATATGTACCAATATATGTATATATGTATATATATATATATTATATGGTACCCCGTCCCCCCAAGACTTCCAGTATATATATATATATATAATAATTAGTATATATACTGTATTATACAGTCATAGTCATATGTAAGTTGTGCTTGTCCTTGCAGCCCCTCTAGGGCCTGTCCGAGCATCTCGCTCATTTTGTTTGATGCCGAAGCGACAGGGACCACGAGTCGCTCACATTCGACCCCCAAACAGCCGCTGTCAGGGCGCTCTCTCGAATAACAACTGATCTCCACTATATGGTCGAGTATATTCCAGTGGAATTGCATTTTACTGACTTGGACTTGCAAAGCACAAACATCACAGACATGCAGAAGGGTTTCAAAGACTTGCAGCGTTGAACCCAAGAGTGTAAGACTGATCCCACAAGTTGTCTCGATCCGGACACGCGATTCGCGCGTGGTTCGAGCGTGGACCACACGCGAACAAATCTTGAGCAAGTCAACAGATGTGTGCAGCGGACGGACGGTTCGCACGAGACGTGTGCAGCTAGAGTCCTTTCGCCTTTCGCCTAGGCCTAGTCCTAGCAGAGTCGTGTTCTAGGCATGTTCTAGGACTAGGCATGGTTAGTCTAGTCTAGGATGTTCCAGTCTAGGACTAGAAACAACCATGCCCTGGTTGTGTTTCTTTAGTAACTAAGAGCATTGCTACGAACGTCGAGTCCCTTCCCTCGGTCTGATTCTCGGGTTGGACACGGGAGCCCGTGGTGCCAGTATCCAGCACCCTACAAGCCTGCCATGAAGGTGCGGGGTGCGGGGTGGTGGTGGGAGAAAGTGGAAAAACTGAAAAAAAAACACATTTGAAACGTCGATTTTGAAGGTTTCATGTGATTGAGTTTCATGGTTCATTTGATTGAAATTATTAAGTTGAAGTTGATTTCAAGGTTTCAATTGTTTATATAACGTATGTTTATTGATTTATTCACTGTCACTATTGCAAAGTTGATTTATTCATTCGGTTGTTCAAGGTGCGTGCAAGGTGCCCTCAAGTACATTCATCGTGCCGCATGTGAGAACGGAGAACGGCAACATGGGGGGCTCTATGTTTTTTTGAGCTACCAGTGTGTGGCTTCCATCAAAAAGCGGGCTCAAGGGACGTGATACTTTCTTTTCTGGCAGAAGGTTTTTCTGTGTGGCCTTGCAGGACGAAAACGACATCTCCAACTTCGAGGAGCCAAGTTTCCGCATCTTTTTTGCTGCTTTCTGTTCTCCACGTCAAGCAAGCTCTCCTAAAAATTACCAAAGGAGCACCAGAAGGGCCATAGAACATCATAGAACCTTCTCTCCTTTTGGACTCCAGCTTCATGAGGCTCACCACGTTCGGCCCACCATGTTCGGACAGGTCCTGCCTTTTCAGACGGCACGCCGCCAACGCCGCCACCGGTCCGCCACACGTCTGCGGCGGAGTCCCAGGACATCCCCGACTCCACCGATCTGCCGCCAAAGGTTGCGGCGGCTCAGGACGGGGTTTGGCACAGACCGGCTTTTTCCGGAGGGGAACCGTTTGGGGGCCCCGGTGCTTTCGGGTTTTCGAAGGGCAATCGAAGAGCTGGAAATGGACAGCGTGGGTGATGTTTTGTGGGTTTGGGCTTCCTCGGCGACGTGAGGATGGACAGAAGCAAAGTGAAGATCGACCCAGGTGTCCCAGTCCTATTACTATAGCAAACTGGTCCCCTATGAGATGGGACTAGTGCAACGTACCCACCTTTTCATCCATTTTGGATGTCCATAAAGTCCTATCTCATCAGTACCCAGTACCCAGTATAGACTATAATCAAATAAAGTAACACTTGCTGCTTGCTGTAAAGCATGAATTGCGGAGGAAGCCAACTAATTAGGACCATGGGTCTAATTTGACACGAAAACAGCCTATATACAAAAGAAATTTTGCATGTGGCTCATATAACTTTATTCGGTTCGAACTTCTAAAATGAGGGTTCGAGATTCGAGATCTCACTGAAAGAAACATTTTTTCAAGATTGACCAGCTGGGTGCGGTTCCGTTTGTTGGAAGGATGGAGACAGGATGCCTTTACCATTTCCAGTCTCTGAAGGCATTCAGTGGCCAACACAATCGCTGGTCGCTGGTCGCTGACGATGTTCTTCTGGTCGCAGGGTGTCTTTCCTCTGTTGAAGAGGCACCAAGACGCACCACCTTAGCGTGCGAAACTCAAGAAGGAGGTGATTTGGTCCGGCTGTGGGTCACCAGCCTGGAACTCACCCCGATCAGTGAGGTCTTGACCTGTGGGTCGTCAAACCTTCGGTTTCGGTTTCATGGAACCTGTCCACCGGTGGTCCACAACACCTTGGGGGGGGCTTTCAACTCAACACCTCTTCGATGGCCTTGACCTCGGGATCAAGGCCATCAGGGGCCCCAGGTAGTGGGGCCTAGGACTCCACTGGTGCGCAGGACCCCTTCGTCGATTGGTAGGCGGGCTTTGGAGACACACAGCGCATGGGCAGCGGCAGGGGCTTGTGGATCATGAGCAGATCGAGTCATGTTCCGTGTTCCTTGCTCCATCTTGTGGCTGATGAACACCCTCTAGGCCTGCTTGGTCGCCGCACATGACATTGTAGGGCAGGATTCGTTGGGCCTTCCAAAACAAACACCTGACCTATTACAGCAAGTTGAGAGTGGCACTGTTCCAATGCCAAGGGTGGCATTCTTCAGGTCAGTTTGTCATGGAATTTCTCAGAAGCCCAAGGAAGGCAGCCAGGATCCGAGCCCTGCGCAGGCCAATCTCTTGGATGATTTGGATGCGGCTGCCAGAAAGTGCACAAGAAGTACAAGCTGTGTAGCTAGGTCCAAGGCGGAATTCGAGGCACTTTGGTGGCAACTTGCTTCAGATAATGGATGACAATGGGTTATAATATATGGTTATATTATAACGGCTACTACCATTCTGCCAACCCCCCTTTGAGCAGGCCCTTGCTTGGCACTTGCTTGAGTGCAGTCGTTGTTGCTGCGCGCTTGCCATGCAGATCCAGCGCTGCCTCTGTGCTTCTGGGGCCTTCACAGGAAGGACCCCAATGCTTTTCTCCGTGGCTAAGTCATGTTTGATCATCCACCCACATCTTCCACCCACAGCGTGATGCTTTTCTGTTTCGAAATGAACAAGCACGAAGCTTTGGAATACCACTGGTGATCGAGAATATAAAGGCACCAGGCAAGACACCGTTCCGCATTTTGATACGATATCTTACGACACACACACACAGTGTATTTGACGCCTATGTGCAATCCACTGGAAACCAAAGCCTTTCATATCCATGGCCTGCTGGACGCTCTCCCCACAAGTTCTCGACATGCTCTCTCATCTTTCCTTGAACATCCAACTACCGCCTTGGGCGATTTCGAACCACCAAGTTCCGCTCTGCCGTGCTCGTGCCGGCCAGCTTAAAGGTGCCGGCCAAGTGCTTTCACCTTGCCTGAACGAGCAGAGCCGAAGTCGCAATGGGGTTCCCTTTTGGCGCATGCATTTCAGGATTGTATGAAGAACTTACAAACAAAACGTATGCAGAAAGATGCCTCTCTTCTAGCATAGTCCAATTGTTTGAGGCAAAGAGTAAGGCTCTTCAAGATGAGGCGCCAGGACAGTTTACAGCTGCGCCAACAAAGGCATCAGATCACCTCACTCAATGATTAGCTACTGGAACGCGTCCCTTCCTACAGAGGCTCATGATAAGCTGTCTCTGCAGCATCCAAGTAAGTGAAAGGCGACCATAATGACTTGGCTCGAGCCTCCGAATGTATTGATTCAACACCCTCGAATGAAAATTCGAGATCTGTGGACGGGCAACTGGCGTGTCTGCGTTTCGGTTTGTTTCCAGGCCCTACAGAGGTCTGGGACTAAACTTTGCAGCTCAACGTTTTTGAGCATTTCATTAATAGATGTATGCAGTTTTTCTTGTCGGTGTGCACATGGGTGGGTTGATTGATTTTGAATGGTCTTGGCGCATGGGCAGATCTTGGACAACATTTCCCTTCTATGAGATTCTATGAGTCCAAGTCTCCAACTCACAAAAACATGGGTGCACAGTGCACAGAAGAAAGCACATCCCTAGTGGTGCATCCACGAGTCAGACGCCCGAGTCGACAGAATCTATCCATGTGATGGTGCTGCTTTGAAGATCAAAGCTGCGTGCGGCCAATCTGCCGCATCATCCCTGCATAGAAGAAATACTGCCAGATGCTGCAGTTGCAGCCTGGGGGTGCCAGAAGGGAAGTACGTCCCGTTCCAGGGTCAGCCACCAAGTACGTTAAATGAATTCCAGGTGGCATAGCCCACATCATTTGCAAAGGCCGGTGGACGATGCCCTCGCAGATCCTTGAGTGTTTCGTAGATTATCGCAGTTTTGCCTACTAGCCGCCTCCTGGTCATCACTCTAAGACTCTAAGACTCGAACGGCAACGTCAACGACGTTGGGCACTGCCCACGTTGGCGGAACGACGTATGGGCGGAACCGTGTCCTCGACCTCAAGCACCGTTCTTCGTGTCTTTTTGGAGCTGGCGGGCGTGAAAGCCCCGAGATGACTCGGATTTTCGCCGATAAAGTGATAGGAGAACGGTGTCGAAAGATTTCACCTCAAAAGGTGGCCTTCTTCACGGGAGAAAGGTGTCGAAAGGTCGTAGTTAGTAGCGTCCTTGTTCCTATGGTAGCGATGCCCTTACTCCTTTAGTAGTACGGCCCGGAGCGCTCCTGCCTAATGAATTTGACCATGGACATGCCTAAAAGTCTCCAGAGTGGTGCTACCCCCCTACAGCTTGATGGAATGGGATGCCTCCAGGCTGCATGGTAGCCCGTCCGTTGCGCTGGTGGATTTCCACCGCGTCACCAGCGGCACCAAAGCCAGCTACGAATTTTCCCACTTTCGATCGAGGAGCAGTCTTATAGACTCAACTAGTTGGCCACCAGAAAGTTCCAAAAAAAAAGGTCATCATGATTTTGTTCCGCATATGGATTATCCTGCTGTGAGCATTTCTTTTGCAACAAAAATGCCCATCCTCTTGGGAGGTGCAAGTTCCATTGCCCCAAGGAATCTGGCTTTTTTTGGGCTTCGCACTCATGGAAGAAACTGGGAGAAGATGTGGTAGCTGGCGAGCTTTCGCTAATGAGCTGAGCTGATCTCTGCCAGGCGGTTTCACCGGTGAAAACCGGGCGAGGACTTTTTTCGCGGGTTTCCGTGGGGTCAGCGTGTTTTTCTTCGACCCTGGCATGTTTGGGGAGGACGAATTTGGGGGAGGCCAAGAAGCTATTAGGGGAAATAGACGAAAGCAGACTGAAGTCATCTAACATTCATTTAAGGCAGGACGTACAATGTATTTTACACACCTCGCCGTCAATCATTGATGGTGCTTTCAATTTTAGGAGGCTGCTTGCATCACGTGCATCACTTGCCATCCGGGCTCAAGGGGCTGATGTGAAGAATCGACTCCGCAGCTCTTTAGTACAATAGTCAAGAGTCGAAGCACCGGCGGTCCCATGGCGAAGCAGGCCGAAGATGGCCGAATGTCCTTTTTGGCTTTCTTCTTTCTTGAGCTGGTATCTAGAGAGAACCCCAAACATGAAGCAAGGCAGTTTAAAAGCTACCTTGCTTTGGTCCAAGCAAAGCAGTGCAATTTTCATGCGTCGGGCCGCGTCGGGTCGCCTTTTGACACCTTTTTTGGTTTGTTCGTGTCCCGCCGGATCGGCGTCCTCACCCGGAAGCCTGATCGATTGGCCCGGGGTCCAGGTCCAGCTGCAGGATTTCGAGATGTGCCTCGGCTGTTTTGGGCGTTTTTTTTCGCAAGCAACGGCGATGGCACAGTGGTTGAAAAGAGTAGATGGCACCAAACCACACACATTGGGGTTTGTGCCATTTACTCTTACTCTCAATCCACTATATAATTACGTCTGGTAAGGGCTAAACAAACTACGTAGGTAACCTGCTAGGCCGCTAGGCTTCTTCAAGGAAGCTCCCCGCGGCCTGAGGGCTGGATTCATTGCCGCCGATTACCATTTGCTTCCTAGATTCATTTGGGTGTGTCTTTTTAATAGGGAGACTCCCAACCAATGGGGTTTGGTCTAGTTTCCTTCTTCCAAGAGGTCTTTGGGAGGTCTCCCTATTTTGATACACACCCATCCGGCTGGCTGTTTTGGAGGGCCGCGGGCGGTGCGTTGAAGCCCAGGGGGGGGGGGTGCCCACTGCCTCCTGAAAGTCCGGCCAAAGGAGTATACCTGGACCCTCATTCAGGCTCAAATTTCTGCGACGAGTTCCTAGGTTTGTTACCTAAGATCTTCCGTTCCTGTGCAACATCGCTGTGCAGATCATCCATCAAACCAGCCAAAAAGGCAGACAGTTGGGTCACAGTTGGAAGATCTTAGGTCCTTTCGGGGGATCCGGCTCGGCTCCGCGGCTCCGGAACGGTGTCACGGTGGAGAACCGGCTGGTTGGAGACGGAAACAGAACTGGCGAACGGATGGAGAACTTCGTGATGAGTTCAATGGGTTTCGACCCTCCTATCAACCCAGGGTTACTTGTAGGTGACCCATGGCGAGACGCACCCTACCCGATTCCCCCCCGGTCACTTCTCGCGATTTGGGCGGCCACGCCTTCGACCCCAAACAACCGACAACCACAGCGTTGTTCGTTCGACCTCGCGACCCCGCGCCACCTGCGCGTCGTCGCCACCTCCTTCGTTTTCGTCGCCACCTCCACCCGCGCCCCCCGCTTCTTCGGGTGGTTGAGCCACCGCCACAGGCGAGGCCGCGCGAGGTCGTGTCGTCGCTTCGAAAGAAGAGAAACAGAGGCGACCGCTGCACCGCTCTGAGGGTCCGCACCTTGGGCTGCGGATCCTTTGGACGTGTGAGATTTGCCAAGTACAAGCCGGAGCGGCCGGGTCGCGGCGGGCGTCGGCGTGCGGCGGGTCGCGGCGAACCGCGGCGGGTCGCGGCGAACCGCGGCGGGTTCGGGGGGCGAAAGGGGTAATTATTGTGTTCTGGTTTCGAAGGAATGGGAGGGTTGGTTGTACGGTGTTTTCTCTGGTGAGGACGGTTGTTTTACGGTCTACCAGTCTACCCCTGAAGAAGGAGAAACAGGCGGATGGTGACAGGTAGGAAATCGAGTGAAGGATTGGGGTTTTAGTTGAGACCCCTGCGCTCGGCTCATCATTGGCAAGGACAAGGTTTTGCCAAGTTTTGCGGATATCGGTTTGAGGGGCTTGATATGGCTTGATCAAGACACCCCGTCGAACCAAAGAGAACAATCTTTTCAGTTGACCCTTGCATATATATATATAGATATGTATATATATATATATGCAGTATTATGCATGCATATATGTATGTGCTTTTCTTCAGGATTCCAGCTTGCATGATTCAGACTTCATGGAAGATCCACGCCGCAGCTATTCCTTCAACCCTTCGGAACTGGTGTGAAATCGAACAAGTGGTCTCTTAACAGTCATCGTTTTATGGCGAAGACAAGGTGGAATCCAGCATCGTAGTCCAGCTCATGGGCCAAGCTATACCAAAACCAGAATCAGCAAGTTGGCTGCAAAGAATCAGCCAACAGGGCCAGCCAAGTTGACCTCCTGTAGGTCGTCTATTCTGCTCATTTTCTGTGGTCCACCAGGGTCCCCCGGTTTTCACCCCCCGGCAGGACGGCAAATATTATGCAGTGAAGTTCATGAAGAAGCACGAGATCATCAAGCTGAAACAGGCCTGCAGCTCGCGCCTCCCCACAGCTCGCGCGCACCCTGCGCCCGGAGCGGAGGCTTCCTCGGCACGTAGCTATTTCGCAGTTCTCTGGTTTGTGAGATGTTGCCTGGTGAGAAGGTCGTGGTCCTTGGCTCGAACCTGAAAAAGAGCTGGGCGGTCCGACCAGCTGGGCGCGGAACCGGCGGTCCCACCGGAGGTCCGTCGGCCGTGACGGTTTCGCCAGTGCCCCGCTGGTTCGGTGTTTTGGACAGACCCGCTGCGTGGAGCTGCAGGTCGACCACATCAACAACGAGAAGAGGCTAATGGCGCAGATCTCCTACCCATTCATCGTGCCTTTGCAGCAAAAGGAGACCCCTTTTTGGTTCAACGCCCGCTGTGAAGTCCCACGTCACCAGGCGCTCAGGCACTTCAAGATGCACGTGCCGTTTTCACTTCGTTACAGCTATGAGCATGGTGATCTATCACAGATCGTTTCTGTTTGGCTGTGTGACCCCCGCAGCGCGTTTCAAACGCTTCCGAACTCGTGTTCCGATCCATTTCACCGGGATGGCTAAGGTGAACATGATGGGCTATGCCAAGGAGGGGAGGGGATTCGGTGTGGTTGGTGTGTGGCCACCCAAAAGACACCGACACGTTTCTTTTTTTTGTCCAACGATGCAACCAAGCGAGAAATCAAAAGGGGACTGGCAAGTGATGGGTCTATTGGAAGACTGGCTCTTTGCAAGGTCTCACTGAAAGGCTAGAACAGCCCTCTGACATATTCTGACATCGCCAGAGCAACATGCAGGATGACCACTTCGTCTACATTGCCGGAATGCTCGGGTGTGACATGAATGCCTTCTTTTTCAGTGAAGTCTAACTGCACGGAGCTCTTTCTCATAAGGCTTCCCATGCTTGGATGGGTGAGGCACTGGTGAGACAAATGCAAGAACAACCTGGAGGGAGCTCGTTTTAAACACAGACCAATGCGCTCTCCTTCGCTAGGGATGCGGAAGATGGTGTAAGATGAGCCCCCCCGACGCGGCTTTGGGCGTCGCCGCTCACGGCACCCGCTGAGATCATGGAATGCATAAGTGGTGGAGAGCTGTTCACCCATCTGCGAAGGGCCTGGCCCTGAGGCGATGTGGCGAGGCATGGTCAGACAGTCTTCCAACAGCGGACACCTGTTGCGGTCGTTGGTCTTCACATGACTTTGGTCGAAGAGTGGGCAAGTGCGTCTGCCGATCTCAGGCCCGGAAGTTCTCAGATGAGCAATCAAAATTCTACGGCTTGCAGGCATGGTTGGTGGATGTTGGTGGCAACTTGTTTAGTTTTGAGCTTAAATTAGACATTTCCACTACAAGGCAGTAAACAGATTCTTGAATCAAGAAACAAACTAATGGGGTTGAATTGTATTTTCTGACTCTTTTGTGAGACACGCAGGGGCGTATGCGTAACGACCAAGGGTACAACAATTCGACACTTTGCTAACTGCTCTCAGACTGCACGCGTATCATCCCTACCTCTGTAAGCACTGGAACCCGATACCTTTTATATAAAGCAGGGTTCCAACTGGGGGGTTCCCTCATCTCTAAGATGTTTGGACATTTCCAGCGACATGCTTTCACGATTTCTCTGAACTCTCCACCAATTCAGGTGGAATTGCGATTTCGACCTTTGAATGTTCGGTTGCTGATATGAGAGATCGCATGTTCGGTTTGCCAAGTCGTGAGCGATCACGGTCGCCCCCGGACTCAGCGGAGTTCGCAGATTTTTTCTTCTCCGACAAGTCTTTTCAGACGGTCCGATGAGTCTAAGGAGAAAGGACCGGACGGCGAAAACGATCAAGTTTTCCCTCAAGTCTTCTTCTCAAACTTTTTCCCATGTTCGGTTTGCACTTTCGTGATGGTGCATGGAATGCTGGTTCTTTTCCTTGCCGCCCGACTAATTCCATGGATTGGGAATGATAATTGGGGGCGAGGGTCAGTCGCGGAAGTTGAAGACGTTTTTCGTGGTGGAGCATCCTTGATCGTGCACCGTGACAGACTGCTGCTGCCTTCGCTCACATTCACGGCCCGGAGCCAAAAAAACGTGGACAAACCCAGCACTTCATAGATTGAAAAGACCATTTGCTGAGAACTGTTAACGGGCTGCTTTAACCATCTTTAACCCGCCATGAAGGAGGCGTAAAGCAAGAAGTTTGAATGTGTGATATTCTGTCTCCACAAGATAGACGGACTTGTGCCAGTGGTAAGTCTCATTCTTGCTTCGCAGTGACAAATGCGAAGTCTTAGTTGAACCCTCCGTACTCCCCTTGCTTTTCCGGCGCTCTTGATCCGTGGGACATGCCCACCCCAAGGCAAGAATATCATCCATCGGGACCTGAAGCCCGAAAACATCCTCCTTTGCCAGAGACCCGGTCCTTTTGACGTGTTACAAGAGGGCGTCCTGCCAGCTTTCGGCATGACCGGCCATGACCGGACAGACGGAGCACGGGGGCGAAGCTAGGCTGGTCGCCGATGAGCGGATTTGTTTGGTTCTTTTAGGATCTTTTTGTCTGTTTTTTGGACGGGCAGACTCGTAGACTTCTTCAGAATTCTACAGACACCAGAATGGTGCTAGAAGCGAAGTGATTGGCAGTTCCCGTCACATGACGATCAAGCGACCGTTGTACGGTCCCACCGTGCACACGTACGTGTCTCTGCGTTTCAGCCGGCGTAAACCCGAGGGCTTGGGGTTGGGAAATCCTCCCAGTCTCGATCCCCACGACATTTATATAGTGGCTATCCTGCAAACTTTTCTGGCTTCACTCAGCAGAGGACGTGACTTAGACCTGGTGACCTTCGACCTCGCAAGTACGATAGTAACGAAAGCTTGCAACAGCTTTTGGGATAATGATGGGTTATGACATATCATGACCGCGGACTCTACTTATGTGCACAAGCTGAGAAGTTAAACATTGACCTGAGGATCCACACCTCAGCTTACTCCGGATGAGCACGCTCAGGTCCCAATGGCTACTCCAAACTCACTGACTTCGGCTTCGCCAAGATCGTGGAGCCAGGCTCATTCGAAGAAGTTGTCACGAACAGGGAAGTTCGTTGGGATGATCAGGAACCATTGTTTTACTTTTTTTCCTCTTCCAGCTACTGTCGCGATTCCATCCCTGATGGCCCACTCCAAGCATCTCCAAGCCATCTCACGCACATCGGCGGTGTGTGAGCTCTTTCGATCCAAAGCATCGACTCTCCCACTCACTAACATGGAAGTGGAAAACCCCGGTTCGTGTTCTCAACTATGGTGGGTTGAGACACATGCCATCTACTTCCCTTCCATGTCAGTGAGTTGAAGTGGGTCATGGCTGTGGATCATGGCGGAGCTCGTCCACCCTCCGATCGCCCACTTCCGGGCCTGGTTGTGCCCGGATGTTCAGTCTCAGGTGCCATGACCCACAGCCATGACCCACAGGTTGGTTTGAAGGTCTTGCCAAGTTCTTGGGTTGAAAGCTGCCCTTGCCAGGATGCCCTGCAGAACAGTTCACATCCCAAAGAACCTTAAAGACTTATGGAAGGGTGTTGCCTCATCCAACCTAACCTCCCCGGTCTTGCAGTCTTTCGGCGGGTGGCTTGGCAGTGTCGCTGAACCAAGGGGCCATTCCAGGCGATTCCAGGCGTGCGGAGGAACTCCAGTTTGGTGGACCCCCGGCTGCGACCCCCGTCCGACTCCCAGCATCTCCCCGGGTTGCCAATGATGAAAACCACTGGCTGGCTGCGTCCACCTCCGGTCAGCGAGCCGCTCGCCAGGCACCCGCACCTACACGCTTTGCGGCACCCCGGAGTACATTGCGCCAGAGGTGTTGCTGAACAAGGCGAGAGGGGGAACACGCGACGGGATCGGGTGAGAAGGTTCCCCGCGCCAACGAACAGAGCGCCACGAACGAACGTGCTGAGAGATGGTGATGTGTTCCGCCGAACCTGAGAGATGGTCAGGTGTGGGCTGAGAGATGGTCAGATTCACTTGAGCCTCCCACAATCCGCCGGTCTCCGCAGGGACATGGCAAGCCAGTGGATTGGTGGACCTTGGGTGGCTCGGCTGGCCTTTGACATTCCCTTTGCACTTTCAAACAGTGGATTTGGGATGATTTGGGATGATTTTGAAAGACGCCCCTGATTGAAGTGGAGTTCCAATGATTCTTCAAGTTTGCCATCCCAGCATCTCTGGAATTGGCGTGACCTGTCCCGATCCTCTGTTTGCGTACACCTGATCCACCAAGGCATCCTGGTCTACGAGATGATTTGTGGGCAGCCACCCTTCTGTGATGAGGCAAAGCTGGGCAAAGCCGGTGTGGTGCGAGCTCGCTTGGAATTCCAGCGCTCACCCTTCGCACCCGCACCCTTGCGAGCCACCCTCGTGCGGCTCGCTGGCCCGTCGCACCCGGAGGACCCGATGGGCATCTACCAGAAGATCTTAGCTGGCAAGGCCAGCCGTGATCCGAAACCTGACGGCTGGATGGGTGGAAAGGGTGGGGAATGCATCCAAGTTCCTCGAAACATCGAGGATGCCGGTGATTTCTGAGGTTTCTTTCTGACAACAAGGAACAACAAAGACTCTAGCCACATCCCTGCTTCTCCCTGCGTCCCTGCAGCTGCACAGCCTGTATACCGGAAACTCAACAGAGTCGACCGGAAACAAGAGCAAGTCGACAGGAAGAGAGTGGACCCAAGAAGACCACAGCGCACCCGGCGTTCGACCGATTACCCTTTTCGGAGTGGCCTTCGACCGCCCCCAGTAGCCCAGCCCTGCTTCGACCTGTGAAAAAGCCGGTGACGGAAGCGGACTGTCAGGTGTAACATGCTGGAAGACTTGAGGAGTTTCCTGGGAATCCAGGGCTTTGGAAAAAGACGCAGCCACAAACGAATGATTTGTTATGGTATTGTTGATCCAATCCGAATCCAAACCACTTTGTGGATTTTACAGGGATCGATCTTGCCGCTCTTTTACACATCCCACGAATCACTATAGTCACTATAGGAGCCCTTCGGCACCAATGGCTTGATTGACTGTTTTATGGAGGTGTACTTCCCGAAGTACTTTGACAAGAACGCGAAGTCGCTGGTTGTTGCCTTGGCGTTCTGAAAGAGAGAGAGAACGGTCGTTGCCTTGGCCCCACATGGTGGACAAGACGCCTGCGATGCCCCCGGTTGGGTGACTTTTGAGATGATTCTACCTCGAAGAGGACATCAAATCCTTATATATATTATAATATATATATATATTATAATATATATATTTTATAATATATATTATATATATATATATATATCTGTGTGTTGAACTTGTGCCTTGGACATTCCGAACGACGCCTTTGACCTCCTCCCAAAGCCTTGCGGTTTCACCCAGGTGAAGAAGCTTTTGGTGGCCGATTTGTCCAAGCGATTCGGGAACCTGAAGGACGAAACGGCGGCTGTGTTGTGGGATGACTGACTGGCGGCCGCGCTGGGCCCCACTGAGACGCTCCGGCGCTTTGTGGTAGACCTAGGTCACTAGATTCACTAGATTCACTAGATCACGAGGCTCATTCAGGACCGAAAGTTCCGGACACTCCACTCTATGGCATTATGGTCATTATATGAAACATGTTTTAAGCATGTTTTACAGATTTAATTACTCTACTTCGAGTGATCCCCACCATGACATTTCAATCATTTGTCTTCATGCCATGGTGAGGAGCATGTTGCCATGGTCGTGAGTTTTGTGGTTCTCGACTTTGTTTGTGGGTCCTCAGGTTGGATGCTGTGATTGTGGTTGTGTGTTGTGGTTGTGTGCTGTAAACCTTCGTGGTTGTGTTTGTGGTTGCGTTCGTGGTTGTGTTCGTGGTTGTGTTCGTGGATGTGTTTGTGGTTGTGCTTGTGGTTGTGCGATTGAAACTGTGTGTTTGTGACTGTGCTTGTGGTTGTGTTTGTGATTGTGTGTTTGTGGAGTTTGTGGTTGTGTGCTGATTGAGGTCCGGCGGGGAACACTGCCAGCGGAACTCGCGGTTGAGGTCCGGCGAAGAACGCTGCCATCCGGAGCTGTTGCGGTTGAGGTCCGGCGGGGGACACTGCCATCCTGCACTTGCGGTTGTGGAGGCAGAGGAGGAGGGGGAGGAGAAGGAGGAAGGACGACGGCAGCTGACAAAAATTCTATAATCTATATAACAGCCCTCACCTCAAAACCTGCATGTTTGATTGTTGACCCTACCATTTGCTTCGACAGGGCCGATCCGTTTCACATCGTTTGAGCCCCTCATACATTGCCAACATCACCAGCGGCCGAAGGATGGAGCTGCAGACATTCTTCAAAGCAAGTGGTGCCCCGCTTGCACCAGATATACAGAATACCCAACCCCAGATCCCTTAAAGTGGCTAGCAAGACGACCCACTTGGGGATTGGCATTACATGGATATTTAAAACATGCTTTGCATCAGCCGTTTTGACATCTAGCGTTTTCTCTTTGAGCCTTAAAGGATTATTGCAGAGTGCAGATGTATCAGATATATCAGATGTCTGGTTTTCCTTGTTTTTCTATGTTTTTTGGATAGATGATTAGATAAGCAGTATATACCCAGACCATCAATGTATGGAATATACGCCTACATTGACCCCCAAACCGCCCCAATGTAGGTAAATATGTCATACGTTGATCGTTTGGGATAGTAATTGGCCATCTCATTCCTTGGCGCAGTCAGCCCTTCTGTCTCTGACCTTCGATCGAATGAGAGAACGAGGTTTTCGACCTACGAGCTGCCAAAGATGGAAGCAATGGAGGTGCCATCCAGACATTCAAACCTGCTGCAAATACTTGGTGCCATTGGACCGACTTGGCCGGCTGAACATGCGCCTATATGTGACTCTGTAAGACTGTGTCATCAATGTGTCAAAAACCGTTTTATCGCCCTTTTGTTGGTTGCACTGGCTGGAAAAACATGTGTCAAAAACGTCTTACCTTAATCTGCAAACTCTTAGCTTGGATGACCAGTGTTCTAACCTCTCTGCACTGAACATAGTAGTTGGTGTCACCTCGAGAAACCACCCCGGCCGTGCGGCAGTATCCAGCACCCTACAAGCCAAGCATGAAGGCGCGCGAGAGAGCTTCACGGGTTTGGGAGGAGGATCCACGAGCATCCAGCGCACTGGTTGAGAATGTTGGAATGTTTTCCGCCACTCCCCCTCAAAACACAGGTGCGCTCTATAGAAGTGATGACACCCACTGGGTGGTCATTGGGATCCGTTCTCGGTTCTGTTCATTCCTGAGGCATCGGCATAGACGACCGTGCTGCAGTCCCTGTTTCAGGGACCCAGCACTGACCCCACATGGCCAGACCGGGTGAATCGGTCCGTGACCACCGACCACGCGGTCTGGTGGGTCGTTCGGGGTGTGAAACCATGGCCCTGGAGCTGCCCTGGATGGCCGTGTGGCAAGGAGATGGTGAAGTAGAGGTTGTCTAGCTCCCGGTCACTAACTGCACTATGCAGTACATGCATGATGTGAGCTCGTGTTTGAATGCCTCAACACTCCTGCAGCTACGTAGCTGCTCCTTATGAAATGGTTGCTGACCGAATTGATCGATCTCCAATACAGCTGCCCTCAAGATTGGTGGTGTTTCGGACAGTTCGGATTGCATTGTCCATTAAGCACACTGGGATTCGACCATTTCCACTCGCCCATGGATTGCTTCACAGGATGATAACGACGTCTCCAACTTTGAGGTTGGGGGAGACCGGCTGAGCGGGGGGGAGACCTGTGGTGTGCGTAGGTCTGTGGTCACACTTCGGAATTGCAATGGCGCTACAGACGGGGTGCCGCAGCATCAATGGGTCCTTGGGTGCTGATTCATTTTTTCAAGACTGGGACCCATGCTCTTCACAGCATCCCCATCAGATTCTTCGGTTCCTCCGTCAGCATCGTCAAGTACATCCACATGCTGAAAAAGGCATTGCTATATCTGCCAAGTCTCTGTGTAATTCATCCTCAACCCCAAAAGGAGCATCTTTGATCAAGCTAGTCTTCCCAAGAAGACTCCGTCGCCCCGCTGGGAAACCATCTCGAGAGCAACGAGACTGACTCAGGTGGGTGAGGGGGGGCGGGTGCAATGCGCGCCAAGTGTTTCCCAGTGTTTCCCAGGCTTAAACCAGCCTGGTTGAACATTGTTTTCCTACATGCACCCCCATCGCCCCTCTTAAGCCAGCCAGCCAATCAATGATCGCAATACAATTAGATTTTGTATGATTTCGTTGATGGGGAAGCCTTGGAAAGTCAAGCCTTAAAGGGGACTTCTGCTCAGACGGACGCCCCTTTTGGCCTGAAGATGAACTTCGCAACGAGTCCAGCTGACTCCAGCTGCCTTTCCTCATTTCATCCACTCGTGCTCCCAGACCATCCCAGACCTTCAAGCAGATCATCCCGCGCCCAGCCCAGCCCACCGAGTTCGGTGCCCGTTCGGTCCAGGACATCCCTGACTCCACCGATATGCCGCCAAAGGTCACGGCTGCCCAGGAGTCCGGAAACAGAGGGCAGGGGCAGGGAAGCCTTGAAGATCTAGTAACACCGTTCAAAGGATTATTCGTATGATACGCAATGATACACATATTTTATGTATATACATACGCCCTGTTCAAAGGATTGATATGTGGTATAATGTGGTATACATACTTTTTATATTATAACTATAACTATATCCAATCTCCCTCTCTCTCTATATATATGTGTATATACACTATATACACGTATACACACTTGCTCTCAATTCAATTGTAGGGGCCTTCAAAAGACAAGTTGACATTGGACACTGTTTCTTTCTATACTGAGACCTCTCGGCTGGGATTTGCAGAAACCCTGAAAGAGGAATGCGAGGAAGATGTGTCCTGGACTTATTTGGACTTCATAAACAGTCTCGAGCAATGTTGGTCATTTTCTCTAACAATCCTTGTGCCATGTCCTCCATGATGGAAAAGGTGAAGCAAAACAGACAGATACCTAACACAAGCCATTACTTGTTGCCCCAAACATGTGCACGCTTTCTATTGTTGGTCATCCAATGACGTCCGATGGCCATGCCGATGGCCTATTTTCCCCGCGAAAAATGAACCGTTCGTCGGCTCGACCACTTTGGCACGACGGTTCTCCGCCGCTGAAGACGTCGAATGATTCTGGCGATGTGCTGCAAGGACCCTTTCTTGGATTGGTGAGGCCCGAGGTCTACCTTGTGCCAAATGGGAAGAGAGGGGTGTTTCATGGTGTTTCACCAAGATTAGATTTCGAGAAGGACTTGTCTTCCAAGCACAGCTAAGCTTTCAAGATCCAAGTTTTGGCTGAAGAGGATTTTGAGGCGATTTCCCAGATGTGCTTGCGCATCATTCTTGGAACTGGAACTGGAAGGTGTGCGTTTCGCACCTGAACTGAACTATATATATAATGCATACATACAAAAACATATACATATATATTCAATATACCGTTTCTCGAGGTCACTCTCCACAAACATGAGCTATGACGTCAGTGAATGAACCAGACTTTCATTCTTTACTCTTCTTGCTCGCACTCCTTTTTCCCTCCTTTTGCACACAGCCTTGCTGTAAAAGGATCTTTTGGCCAAAAACTCGCTGATGTCAAACCAGGCGACCCGAATCCCAACCGACTCCAGTCGGGACTCCAGTCTTCTCGCAGGGGACGAGTGTCTCCCTGCTCGCACTCGCACTTGTGAGATGCCGGACAATGCCAATATCATGTGGTGAGGGCTGCAGACAGTCGCAGACAGACAGTCGCATGAGATAGCTTTTGGTTGGTGTCCAAACGTTGGAAAAAGAAAGAAGAAAAGCACCCTCAGCCGCGAAAGAAGAAAAGCTGCTGCTCTTGATTTCACCTGCCTGGATGAGGGGAGCTGAGTTTGTTTTTTTAATAGCACAGAAGAATCTCATCCATGGTGACCAGAAGAATCTCATCACTGCGTTTGCCGTTGATGGATGGGTCTCGTGCTCTCGTCTAACTTCTGGTCCCTCCCGATCGATTGGGCGAAGTGAAGGACACCGACCTGGACTTCTTTCATCAATATGGGGGCGATCCTTGCAGCGATCTTGGTGGATGGAGTCCTGCTTGGCCGGCTGCAGACCTACCCTCCCTCAAACAATCGTGATGTTGCGTGGAACATGACCCCTAGAAAGACCATTTTCCTCTAGAAACAGGTGATTGTCCACTTCCATGATTGTTTCAGGGAGGGTACTTCTCAAACTGCGAAATGGCCAGGGTGTTCGTTCTGAATTCCTGTCGGACACGTTGAACCCTGTCTGACAGGTTGAGTAAGGGCTCCCTGATTTTGGTAGGGCTGGTTCACATCTGGGGCTTTCACGTGATCGGTTGCTGTGAGAGTCAGTGAAGAGTTTAGGAACATCCCCATGCAGTTTTTGCTCCACGGAAGTCAAGTCAGAAATCAACATGCCAATCGAGGGTGAAAGTACTCTGCTGGTGAAACAATTATATAAGCCAGCCAAGCGGGCAAAACAGAATCTCAAAGTCAGAAATCATGATCGTGCATGGCTCAGATCTCTAAAGGGCAGTCATCCAAATGTACTGATTCCGCTCTCGAATCAACATTCGAGAGGCCGGATGGGCAACTCAACTCGACCTGACTTGCCTGCAGTCAGGTCCATTCAACCAGCTTCAACCACCTCCAACCACATTTAACCGCCTTGACCTGTAGTACAAAGCCAAAGGGCTTACTTGCAATAACTTTTGATGATCTTTCCTTCAAACTCCTCTGCTTCGAACATGTGATTGAAACGCACAGAACACAGGCATTGAAAACAGGTACTTTCCAAGTTCAGAACACGGACAACAAGTGGAAGCGCTTTTCTTCTTCGTTCGAACGGCGGTGGAACCGAACTGGACGAACCGAACCGGTCGCGGGTGGGCGTGACCCAAGACCCAAGACGGCGAGTCGGGCGGGTTGGTCAGTGGTTCCGAGCAGCGCGGCTCGGGACGTTTGATCGACGGAGCGACACAGCTTTGAACACCAGAGCATCGACACGCGACTCGCGGCCATCGACCGGAGTTGTCCTTCGGTGCAAAAGTCAGGTGCTGCCAATAGCTTGGAAAGGGGTGATTTTTTCACCACATTGACGTGTGGGGTTTTTGTTTTTAGCGTAGTATCCGCTCCTTCCTTCCTTGCGTTGCAGGCGCGGCACTTGGTGCACTCCAGGGGACCCACCAATTGTCACCAACCAATTGCCACCAACCAATTGCCACCAACCACTTGTCCGCTCCTGTGTCTTGTGAAGTTGTTAACATGTGGGGCTATCCGGTCCTATAATTAGTGATGATGGATAGTAGACAGGCCCGTGGTGATGTTGCTGTTCTATGGGGGGGGAACCATGAGCAGCCTGACTCGAATGACTCCAGTGACGCCGATGGCAGCGGCTCGCCGCGGCGACGCGCCTTTCAAAGAGACAGAACAGCAGTGCACGCCACACCGTTGGGTCTTGAATGTGGGTGTGGCAGCCACTTGAGATGTAGAATCTTGAAGTTGGAAACCACATGAACCGATCTGTTGCCTGTTAACACAAGTAGGCCAATAAGTTTCAGGTTTCTTTATGACTGACAAGTTTAGCCAGGCCATTTTATATATTTTTTCTTTGGACAGTCTCTTTGGTGGAGTACGCAGACGCTGTTCAGCTATGCCAGCTAGAGTATGGGCATAGCCGCGATTAGCAAACAACAAACCACTTGAACAGAGTCAGAATATAAATAAACAAACATATTGCACAGGTAATTATATAGCCTGAACTGAAAGGTACCCTAGGTGTTTGGAGAACTGTTTTTTGTCCGAGACATTCTCAAACTCTGAGGCCACTGAAGGTAGGGCCGGCCTCATGCCCTCTATTGGGAAGAACACAGAATGAGGACCGATCGGCACAATGAACTCAGTCCCAAACTTCACATGGCGTGGTGTGACAAGCTGGCCTGGATGAGTTAATTGGCATGGAGCTGATCTCAGAAACGGGTCCCACGGCGAAAGCGAGCCGTGAACCGTGGTCAGCGGTGACCTCTAGATCCGATGAACGTGCCGAACAGACGGCAGATCAGCGAGGGTTGTTGGGGGGATGTTGAACCTATGTTGAAGCTGTTTGAAAGAGAGTGAGAGCGCATTCTGGGCATTTTTGGGGAGATGCCTTCAACCTTGCTGATTCTTTTTGCACCATCTGTTTTGTAGGTTCTTTCTTTGGCCGAATGTCACCAGCAACTGTTGCAACCGCTATCCTTCATGCCACTGCGTCAATCTTTCCCTCGGTGTGGATTGTTCACAAAACATGAGACAACTCCGGTTCACCCTCAAGGCGGGAGAGACCAAGTGAAGTCAGAAGGCAGGCAGGTTGGCTGTCCCGAACCGGTGTATGAGGACCTTTCCCGAAGCGGTGTCCACACTGTCCACTGGATCGAGGTGATGAGATCTTGGTGACTGTCCACCGCTCAATTTGCTTGGGCTGGACTCACCGCGTCGCGCTTCGCGCTGCGCACGGAGCTTCTGCGGCTTCTGCCTCGCAGCGTGCTGCGCACGGAGCTGAGAGCTCCTGTCTCACAGAACTCTCCACTCGGTCCGAGAACTCTAGCGACAAAGAATTCGAGCTCGGTTACGGATCAAGAGGTTTTCCCCTTTGACTGGACATGACTGGACATCAATGATACTAATTACTCCATGGGTTATACAAGAATGGTGAGATCGCCTCTCTCCCTCGCTCTCTCTTAACTTTGCTACATGCCAGAGGCAGCTGGCATTTCTAAGCTTGGATGAGCACTGACTCCAGAGACCTGGTCGTGTCTCATCAGAACATCCTCTCAGTCTCCTTCTCCTCTTTCTCCTCTCAGTCTCCTTCTCCTTCTCTGACCGGTGTCTATGTCTCCTTCTCACACAAAAAGAGCGCTGGCTCGGGGGGGACCATGGTAGTCGCACCAGGGTTCGACCGATATGGAAAATGATGGAAGATGATGGAAGTATATAAAGGGTCGAACTGCCGGGTGTCAGGGTTCATATAGGCCCATATAAAAAGGTTGATTTCAGTGAAAAGCTCTGAGAATCCCCCCCCCCCAAAATGCATCGGCCTTTCCGGGGCTTACGATGAGCGAACCGAAGACCGCTGGAGGGTCTAATTCCTGCAGGTTCTGACCTGGATCTGAAGGGTCGAGGCAAAAAGGAATCGCTTTCGAAGCTTCATCACGGTTCATCACGGTTAGCTGACATTTCCAACCCATTTTTCATGAATCATGAGTCTCTTTTTGGGTGCTGTTCAATCAGTTCACCCCCAGAAACTGTTTGGTCACATCCTCGTGTTGGATTCGTTGCCATTGCCTCCCATGGTGGGTGTCCGGACCGCCGATGCAAGGGCCAACGAGCCTGCAAAAAGAATATGTCTTTTAGTTCACGACCACAGATTCCTCAAATGTGAACCGAGGGGGATGATCCCCAGAGGGGTTGATCCCGTGGTAGAAAAACACTTTCAGCGAGAGAGAGAGAGAGAGAGGAAAGACACTTGGACCGGACACGTCTTCTTTGCAGCGGGTTTGGCAGAGAACTATTCTGGACATGAAGAGAACATAAGAGAGCGGCTGGAAACACCGTTTTTGTGACCAAATTGGGTGGGGCACCTTTTTCAACAGCAAATTTGATGTCACTGCTGATGGCCCTCCCAGCTGATTTCCAGCTTTGCCATGTTTAGCCGATCACGAAACGTGGGCGCGTTTTTCAGGGCGCAGGGAAGGTCGATCTATTACCCAGTGGTTGGGTGTCCAGTGCGTCGCTCAAAACATGGGTTCGACCTCCCAGTTCGACCCATTGAAAGGTTCGGGACATCACCAGACTACTCATTGGACGGCCGGCAGGGGGTCTCCAAACACCCATGAGAATGGGGGGCGACCCGCCAACCACTGGGTTTGGTTTTGCTCGGACCGGTGAACATCCACTTCCCATGAGTTCAATGAGTGTGTCTAACTATTTCAATCGCCCCGAGTCAGGTTGCAATTCACAATGTGTACCAGTAGCGATGCCCTTGTTACTAATTAGCTTCTAGCTACTAGTCGCTCATGCACTTGTTACTAGTAGCTTATGCACTTGTTTCGTTCGTTTCCTTGTTGAAGTTTCTTTTTGGCCACCGATGTCCATGTGGCGCAGGTGAGTCCGCCGGGGTGCCGAGTTCAGAGCGTCAGGTCGGTCTCAGAAGTTCGCCTCCGTTGGGGTCCTTTGGTCAGAGAAGGTGAGAGCTGAAGTACTACGGTTGCATGGAAGGTGCGGGAAAGTTGAACGCCTATCCAAACACTGACAAGCAATTTTTTTGCATGATGGTCTTGATGCAAGCTAGCATTCAATATGTTCTGCCTTCTCACGGGATTTTCGATGCTTTGCTTGATTTCAGGTATATAAAAAAGATGGTATAAACCATGTATAATGCAATACCAATGGCCACACGTGTCTTGCGCAGGTCAACAAGTACCTATTTGTAGGGTCTGCCCTATTACCTGTAACAGTCAGTAAACAATCATCATCATTTTTGAACAAGGCCTTTACTAACCATCATCATCCACTGTTACAGGTAATAGGATAGACCCAACCTATTTGGATATATTTCGTATCGCAGCACAGATCAATTCCGGGCTTCTTTCTGGTACCGATTACGTGAGGAAAACATGAAGACATCGAAAAAAAGAACTTGCTCTCTAAGACTTTGGAACGTGTGTTTTGTTTTAGAGGCCACAGCCTTAGGTAGAGAATCGGGGCTGTGTGAGGAGGATATACTCAGAGACCAGACCAAACTACCCAGGCGGAGCGGTTGTCCTGTGCAAACCCGCTTCTTTTCGAGCGAAAGTCATGCCGTTTTGAACTCAAAGACAGGCGGAAGGCCACTGTTTCACAAAAAAACATGTGCATCACCCATTCACCGGTTTCAGCCAGGTCTTGTTGTTTCAGCCATCATGTCAACTCGCACGGTATGTGGCGTATTCCAAGTGTTTTCCACGCGGCCGACGCTGATTAGGCCACGTTTCCTCTGCGGCAGGACTGTGACCGCTCTACCAGCGGACGAGTTTGGCTTATGATACATGTATCTATCACACTCTCATTCTCATTCTCATTCTCATTCTCATTCTCTCTCTCTCT